GACCGAGCTCTCACAAATCATCCTGCTTCCAAGATAATATTCATAAATTAATAAGCTAGACAAGGGAGCAATTCCATTAAAAAAGACTAGAAATAGAGCTACAATTGAACTAAGTTTAAGATTGGGATGAGTAATATTTGGACATCTTACATCAGCGCACATGTTTTCTAGTCTGGCAATTGGACTAAAAATGCAAGTCAGAACTTTGCGTAAAATTTCTTTTTTACAAGCTCATATATATATTTTTAGATTGCTCTAGCGAAGTTAGTCTGTCGGACCCCGTTGTCGTTGGTATTCGACCGAACTCTATGGGTGCAGCACTACGAGATCGGCATACATTTTATATAACGGAATTCGATCTCGGTTACAGCATGCTTGTGGTGAGTATTTGACATAATACACTCACTATCTGCTGTAGGTTCATCCTTAGTCTAGCGCTTGCTTATGGTGGTGTTGATATGGAGATGTAAGATAAATTTTAGAACAATCAGTGGGTGAGGTGACAATTATTTTATTTTGATCAAACACTTTACTTTTACAATGATCATTTTTTTCTGCTACGCTGTTCTTAGAGTCTTTGGAAAAGAGAAAGTAATTTTGCCTTCTACTGTAGAACTAGGCTATTTATGCGATGAAACGTCAAAATCAACGATTGTCTGAGTGGAAGAAGTTGTTCAACTTTGCGGCTACGGTACGAATTGCTATCGTAATCTATCGAGGTCTTAATCACAAGAATCACACCCATTGATATCTAAAGCGAGCAATGGGTGTGATTCTTGTGATTAGGACCTCGATAGATTACCTTTCAGTCATATAGTGATTTTGACCTCACATCATATACCTGTCGTAACTCTAAAGCCCTATCGCAAGAGAAGGATATGATTTTCAGTAGCAATCACCCTACTAGACAACCTTACAATGAATTAAAATTCCTTGCATTTGAGAAAAACCATGTCGATTACACTTTATAGCTCTCTAAAATTACAATCTCAATCACATCTAAATGTACAGAGAAATTTTTAAAAACCAAGTTATAGAAGGAGATTCTACCTTCGAATGTTACATGTTGCTTCGCCAAAATTTTGTATTTTGTTCTTTTACTTTGAAAGAAAAGGCACACACTTACCGTACAACCCAATAGTAATTGATCATTCACTGAAAGCGTTGGCAAGGCGATGTGTTTTTTGGGATAGACAACATATTACTACTGTATATACATATGTAGCTGATAGCAACTAATTCTTATTTCCTTTTTGTACTTTACCATGCTATCATTCTTATGGATATCTATTGCACATATAACGCAATTGCACTATGGTTTTTTTTTCTTGAACATTACTTTTGAATATTACATTCTACTACTTGATTTCTTACTACCATAATTATATATTATTATTATAGTAACAATTCAAGTAATAGAATCCCTCAACGGCCATTCATATTGTTTTCTTTTTTGGACTTTTTACGACATCCCACTAGTACTCTTACTTTGAGATGCCCGAACCTGTTAGAAGTCAAGCTTCCACAATAAAAGTTGGCCGTAGGCAGTGTTGAGATGGCATATGATTTCATACAGTTTTTGTTTAGTGGATCTTTAGAGTGAAATAGTCAAACTTAAGAATATTCTTCTCACAAGTTAAGAAAAACGCGCCATGAACGAAGTAAGTAATTGTTTTTCTTCCTGCTGAGATTGCATTACGTTGAATCTCCACATTTACTCTATCATCCGCTATAGCAGAGTGCAGCGTGTTGTCCGACTAGCTGTTGCGTTTTGTTACTGTATTTCTAAAGCATCCAACCGCAGCTGCAAGTAGGGTGGCTTGATCACTTTTATAATAAATCAAGATGACATGTGTATTTCTTAAACAGAGTCATCGTATTTAAGATTTCTTTGCTTTCTGACTCATGCGGAAAACTCCATTTCATAAAAAAAAAAGTACTAATGTTTCTGTAAACTACCTTTAATAATAAATTGGCACAAAACTCCCATAGCAGACCTTATTACCATTACTAAATTTATGATGCTATTCTGTCCCATAAGAACAGGAATTTTTTCAAAAGCTTTGCAAGAGTACTGTCTAGAGAAGCCTATTAATACATTTCAGTTCCCATCTGCCCGCTCACTCAATCAT